AAAAATCCATGTCTCTCCATAGGTTTTTGATTGATGTTAGAGTTTTCAGCCTTTGGGCGTCCTGACGCTCCAAGACGGCCCAAAAGGCCTCCAAGACCAATCCAAGATAGCCCAAGAGGCCTCCAACAGGGCCCAAGACAGCCCGAGAGGGCACCAATACGGCCCCAAGGGGGGCCCAAGAGGGGTCAGACGTACCGAAAATCCGAGCCTTCACCCCGAGAGGCTATCAGGAAGCCCCAGAGGCCCCCAAGTGGGACCCAAGAGGCCCTCAAGAAGCTCCCCAGAAGCCCGAAGAGGTTCCAAGAAGCATTGTTTTCCCATCGGCCTTTGATGGATTTTAGAGTTCCCAGCCTTTTGGCATTCCGACGCTCCAAGACGGCCCAAGTGGCCCACACGGCCGCTCCAAGATAGCCGAAGAGGCCTCCAAGAGGGCCCCAAGACGGCCCACTAGGGCCCCAAGACGGTGCCCGAGGCGCCCAAGACGGCCCGACAGGGCCCCAAGAGGGCCCCAAGAGAGCCCCAAGAAGGGGAACGCGAACCCAACAGCAGAGCTTTCCGCCCTAAGAGGCCCACAGGAGGGACCATTGTCGCCTCCACGTCCGGGGTCCGGGTGGTCCGGGTGGTCCGGGTGGTCCGGGTCGGCAGAGCGTCCAAGATGGCCCAAGATGGGCCCCTGGGAAGCTAATTTGTTTGTCACACCTCACGAGGATCGTGGCCCCCGAGGCGTTCTGGAGGGGCAGGGCTAATTAAGGAACCCCCCTTCTTTGATCGATCTCTCCCAAGATGGCCCCAAGAGGCGCCCAGGAGGCCCCAAGAGGCGCCAAGATGGCCCGAAGAGGCCTCCAAGAGGCACCCAATGGGGCCCCAAGCGGCCCCAGGAGACTCCCCCGAGGCACCCAATACGCTCCAAGGAGCCTCCGGGACCGCCAAGACACCCCAAGACGCTTTAAGAAGCCTTGAGGACGCTCCCAAGAGACATCCGAAGAGAATCCGAGAGGCATCCAAGAGGCCTCTGGCCATCCTGTTCGCCCTTTCCCTCCTCCTCCTCCTCCTCCTCATCCTCATCCTCATCCTCATCCTCATCCTCATTATCCTCCTGCTCCTCCTCCTCCTCCTCCTGCTCCTCCTCCTCCTCCTGCTCCTGCTCCTGCTCCTCCTCCTCCTCCTCCTCCTCCTCCTCCTCCTCCTCCTCCTCCTGTTCATCCACCTATTCCTCCTCCTCCCTCCTCCCTCCTCCCGCTCCCCCTCCTCCTCCTTCAGTTTCTCCACCTCCTCATCCTCCTCCGATTCCTCCTCTATCCTCGCCGTCTTGGGTAAGACGGGTTCCCCAGCCCTTGGTCACTCTGTGTGCTCCCTCACTTCCCTGATCACCTCAATCCGCCTGGGCATTCGCCGGTCGAGAACCAGCAACACCAGCAGCAACAGCAACAAAAGCAGTACCAGCAGGAGCAAGATCACCAGCAACATCACATGCAACCTTCGCCACAAAACATCTCCCAATTCACCGTTGTTGCCCGCTCGGTTTCACTATGTGCGTCACGTCTTCCCTTCTTCCGTCAGCTCCCCTAGGCATCGTTTGTGGATGGGCTGATGGGGATACGCGTAGCGTCTAGAATTGAGATGTAAATCAAAGTTTAATCGAATCTGAAATGTAAATGTAGATTTTAATCTAAGTCTACACATGCACTTTAATCCACGTTCGAATTCGAATTGCAGTGTGACGTTCAAGCCTGAGCTGGAACTACAGAATCGGCATGCACCGCAAAGCAAACTAAACAAGAGCTGAATTGCCATCTGAAGTGGCACTTAGATTGACATCTAAATTTACCATTACATGTAAACGTAAATGTGAATACAAGTTTGACTTCGAATTTGCATGCAAATCGTATGTTAAATTTAAATTTAGATTCACATTTAAATGTGAAGTTCAATTTACCTGTAAAATTAAGTTTACACCTACATAGAAATCCACGTTTGAAATCAAGTTGCAGTGCGAGCTTCAAGCCTGAGCCGGAGGTACAGCCTCGGCATGCACACCGCAATGCAAACTGATCAAAAGTTGAATTGTCCTCTCAGCTTGCTGAGTTTTAACTTGAAATTTACATGTAAACGTAAATCTAAAGTTAAGGTTAACTTTGAAGTTAAATTTCAGTTTAAATCTAAATGTAACTTTAATTTTAAATTCAACTTTACACCTAAGTTTACACAAACATTGAAATCCACGGCTGAATTCGAATTCCAGTGTGACCTTCAAGCCTGAGCTGAAGGTACAACCTCGGCATGTTCTGCAATGCAAAACAAACAAGAGCAACATTGTCAGCTGAAGTGGCACTTGTATTGAAATCTAACTTGAAATTAACATATAAACGTAAATCTATAGTTAAATCTAGATTGAAAATTAGATGTACATTGAAATTTGAATCTAAATTTAAATCTAAACTTAAATATAAATTTTCATGTCACATTTAATCTTAGTTTGCGCATACATTCAAATCCACGG